GGGGGGGGGGCGTCCGGCTAGGGCAGCGAGGCGTACAAGGTGGAAGCTCCGAGGTCCGGGAAGGCTTCCAGGGCTGCTCGGCCGGAGTGAACCTCTCCCTGCTCTTTCTCAGGCTACGGGAAGGGCTACACGGAGACTCTGCCGAAAGGCGAACTGGGCCAGGAGAGGTTCCTCCTTTTCTACCTGAGGTGAGGAGCAGCTGGAGAGGCAAAGCAGCTACCTGGCTTTCAGGAGCAAAACAAGCAGGTTCTACGCAAGGAGGGAGCCGGGGAAATCCTCCTTTCCTACTGCGATAATGGCGACCTCACCACCTCCATTAGCATCTGTTCCCCATAGTTGTGCCCCACCCAAATGCCGCTTAGCGGTGACCCAGTCTTGGCAGTCAGGAACACGGGGGGAGGTTGGGGAGGAAGCAACCGCCTTGCCTCTCTCACAGCTTTTGGGGCAGTCTGCACCAGTGGTGAAATTCATTTTTTTTACCATCAGTCCAGTGGGCGTGGCAGGGGAAGGACACTGCAAAATCCCCATTCCCTCCGCACAGAGCTGGCATTTGCCGGTCCTCCCAACTACTCAAAATTTCCACTACGGCTTCTCCAGAACCCGTCAGAACCCGCTGAATTTCACCCCTGCTCTGCACCCCTCCCCCTCCCCAGGGAGATGGCTCCCCCCCCTGACCACTCTCCTCCCCCAGGGATGGCTGGGTGACTGCAGTGGCCAGCCTGAACTTTGACCCCCTGGTGGCCGTGGTGGCCGAGACCCTGCACTCCGGGAAACGCATCTCCAAGCAGGAGGCAGAGTAAGTCCCCCCCCTCCCCAATTGCCAGCCCCCTGGTCCTTTGTCCTGAGCCCCCCCTGAGCCAAGTGGCCTCTTTGCAGGTCCATGATGGAGGCGGAGGAGGTGCTGAATGAAGAGCCGCCCCAATAGACGGCCTCACCGCTTGGGGGTCACAGGCAGAAGCCCCCTTTCACCCAGCCGAAATAAACCGAGAACAAGAAAACTCTGACTTTGGTCCCTTTCTTCTGAAACTTTTGAGCCGGGGGCCACCGACCCCCAGGAGGCTTTTGGCTCTGCTCCAGCCTCGGGGCGCTAAGGCTTCCCGGCCTGGCAACTTTATGTGGACTTCAATTCCCAGAATCCCCCAGCCAGCCAGGTTGAAGTCCATGCATCTTCAAGGCTGGGAAAATCTGCTCTGGCCTCCGACTCCCTCCGGCTGGAACAGGCCAAGGCCTTTCTCTGTTAAAGAAGAGGCTGAAAGGAATGAAGACTTCTGGGGCCCTCGGTTATTTATAGCTGCGGTCCTTGGGGGAGGGGGGTGCAATCCCGCTGCAGGGCAAACTGGACCAAGAGCAACAGAGCCCCAAAAGGGGGGGGGAGAGGGAAGGTTATGAAATCTGTCCCTGCCCTTCCATGCAATGTTCCTTCCTAGCTTAGAACGAAGGAAGCAGGGACGCAGCACCCACCCAGTTCCAAGGCAGAAGCAGAATCCCCCCAACCACCTCAGCCCTCCCGGGGTTCTCCCTTGGACCGCCCTGCAGTTCCACGCTCAGCCAGCAGGTGGAGTGGCCGTCCTGGCATCGAATCCGCACGCCTGGAGGGCACCGACCCCTGAATGTCAGGGAAGCCTATACTGTCCCCGTCCCCCCCCCCCTCCCCGCCCCGTGGGCCCCCCCCCCCGCCAATCCGAGGGCGGAGCGGCCGGGCGGCGATTGGGCGGCGAGCGAGGCGGCCAGCTGATAAGAGGCAGCCCCAGCCGGTGAGCGAGCGTGGCGGCGGCAGGGCAGGGCAGGCGGCGGTGGCGGGCCGAATGAGCGGTCGGCCGGCCGGAGTCTCCTCCGACGAAGGGCGGGGGGCCGGGCGGCGACACTCGGGGGCGACCCGGGGCCGGTTCTGGCCATCGAAGGGGTGGCGGCCGCAGTCGGGTCACCTTCCGCCTCTCCTGGTGG